GGCATACAGCAGACACTCAAAAAGCAGATGGGGATTTGGAAGTCCCACCACCCCCCCAGAGGCCTCACCTGAGGTTTTGTTCACCAAATCCTTCCCTCCCAGGGGCAATGATGTATTTTGAGAGCATTTCACGGAAGCCAGCCAGCACCCTCATATTCGTGACTGGGAGCCCCAGAATGTGGCCTAGGTCTGAAGGGGCCGAGAGAGGGTGCAGGGCACAGGTAGCACCTCAGATGTGAGGTTTAATCCTGAGTGGGCACTGCCTGGCTCTGGGACCCGGGCACTGCCCTCTTAGCTGGCTCTCGGCCACACTGCCGAGGGGGCCCACTTTCCCACCATGCTATCTGGGACGACTCCCATCCTTCAGAAGGGCCGGACTGCCTAGCACGAGGATTCTGAATGCAGCAATCAATTAGTCATGTCTGCCGTGGGTGCAGGAGGGAGGAACAGCTGCCAGTGTGCCAAGAATTTGTCATCTCCCATCTAAATGCCTGGTCAAGGTCCCTGCCAGCTCCACCTGATGCAATTCTGCTCACTCAGCAATGTATCACGAGACATGGATGCCAGCTGATGGCCGGCAGGTGGGCAGTCGCCATAGCCCTTCAATGGCCATGATGACCTGGCCAGCCTCAACGCACAGGAGCTGGTGTCCTTATCCCCAGCCACCTCCACGAAGGCTCCCACCCCCACCTGGACAGAGAGATGCTATCTATGTCCCAGGGCTTCCCAGCCCAGCCCCACTGCCTGCCCACAGCCCAGGGGCATCCAGGGCCACTCCCACGGGGAACAAGAGGTCCTCAAACAGCACAGCCACCCCGCCTGCACCTCCTCCTCACTCACCCCCGGCACAGCGGTCATTCCCAGAAGCACAGTTGGCTCCAAGCTCCAGGCTGCAGGTCTGGCGACAGAGGGACGCCAGACAAGCAGTGGGGGGCGGGGACGAGGAGCATTTGCAGCCTCGTCCTTCCCAGGGCGTTCTGGCCATCCATCCCCCTCCCAGCCCTTCCCTCCACCTGGCCACAGTCAACCGAAAGAGCAAGTTCAGGAGCAAGCCTGGCCCCCTGCAGGGATTGCTGGGGTGTGTGTGTGTGTGTGTGTGTGTGTGTGTGTGTGTGTTGCACGCAGTGAGCTCTCATCCTCGTCTCCCCGAGCACCCTTACACCCGAGCGCTGTGCTGAGCACTGCACACACACCATCTCATGTAACCCCACAACGCAGAACCCCAGGAGGAAATGACCTCCGCCACCCCCTGCAGAGTTGGTGACCCACCCGGGGCCACACAGCGAGCCACCGCGTCAGGACTCGGACCACATGTGTGGGATGTCAGGGCCCAGGCGCCACGATACCCGACTAACCCTGCAGGAGCACACAACTCTCTCTCCCGTGAACTTTGCCAGGAGACGCGGCCTTGCTGGACCAGGAGGGCCCACCTCACCCCGCTGGGAATCTGTGGGCACCAAGGAGCAAGAGGGGGCCAGCAGTCCCCTCAGAAAGGACTGGTAACGTGGCTGCACCACCCCCGCTCCTTGTGAGCTTGGCCCAGTGGCCCCACGCCCCGAGGACACCACAGTCACGCCTTCCGGTCCCCAGCACGGAGGGAAGCGGCCACTGCCCCTGACAATGAGTGAAAGCAGGGCCTCTGCAGTTATTCATTCATTCATTCATTCAAAACACAGCTGCTGCTCAGACACCGCGCCACTGAGCCAGGCGCCCGCCCTGCCGGGGATGCAACAGCGTTGGAGTCGGACACACCCCCTGGCCTGGCGGAGTCTCTGTCCCAACAGAATGTGAGTCAATACACGATGACACAGCCCTGTTCCTCTCAGCTCATCTTACGACTCTGCAAAACCCCTAGCCGTCTCTTCACAGTAAGGTTCGCTGGAGATAAATCACAGAGGAGGCAGAGAGGGGGGCCCAGCAGAACGACCACCATTAGAGTCCCAGCAACTCTGGTAACTCTCTCAGGGGCTGCGGGATGGCAGGAGTCACGGATTTCACACCAGATGTTTCACACCAGCCAGAACTCTCCATGCCCTCACCCTCGGCAGACATAGTCAGTCAATCACAGTGCCCTCCCCATGGCACGGGGTGCTCAAGCCTGACCATCAACCCAGGGTGCTGCTGAAGTGTCCCAGGGGCCACCACAGGGACCAGGGATGGAGAGGGGCTAAGGGGCCACAATCTGCCTCGCCCCACTCCAGCTCGACCAGCACTTCCCTGCCTTTATCTGGTTTATACCTTGGGGAGCCATGAGAGTCTGCATGACAAAGGGTTCTGCTGGTGAAATCAAAGTGTGACAACATCTGGGCTAGGTGTCCTCTGTGCCTCTTTCATCTTCAGCAGGTGACAGGTTTATATTTTGATTCCCAACCAGACTGCAGGCTGGTCCTCTGGGGAGCAGCAGAGTTTCACCTCCCAGGCCAGCTGCGCCTGCTAGAAGCACTGTGATCAACTAGTTATGTCTGCCACAGGTGAGGGTCAGGGTGACATGGAGGCAGTAGGTGCGCAGGGTGATAGGTTTGCTGCCCAGGTAAACGATGCTTCATAACAGTGTCCCAAGTGTATGAAGGCAGGAGAGGTCTATACCTGTGGTCCACCCAAACACAAGCTGCTTAAAGAGAGAGCCGCCAAGTTCCCCTCTTTGCTGGGACTCACTACGTTGGGTGACAGGGCAAGGTGGAGTCATCACAGCCCTTCCCTATTGGGAGTTCACAATGGGGTGCAGAGGACCCCACTGGAAGTCACAGGTGAAGAAGGCAGCACTTTCTGCTCTGACCTTGTCTCGCCCAGATCCACCTGCACACCTTCCTCTCACTCTTGTCTCCCACTGAAGACCCTGTTGGGGCCCTCTCCACCTTCTGCCTGCATCTCAGGCACATCTGTGTGCTTCTCCCCTCCCCCGTGGGCCTCCTGTGAGACGGAAGAGCCGGTGGGTCTCAGGCCGGCAGCACCAGCATCCTGGGTGCTCCTCAGGGGTGCAGGTTCTCAGGCCCCACCCAGACCTGCTGAATCAGAAGCTGGGCAGGGAGGGGCCCAGCCATCTGCATTTTACACACCTCCAGGGTGCTGAGGGCACCTGAGAATCACCTGGAGAGCTTTGAGGGCTCCGAAGCCAAGTGGCATCCCAGAAAGGAACTCGGCACCTCTGGGACGGGCCGGCAGGTGTGTCCTAGCACCCCCAGGTGATTCCAGCACACGTGGGAGAGGGTGCTGAGAACCAGGCTGCAGACCCCGCCCGAGGAGCAACCCCAGCCCCCCTCCTTGCTGTGCGGCCAGTCCCCCAACCTGAGAGCTGTGGGTCACGGTCTCGGAAATGGAAATAAGAGGACCAGAACTCAAGCTCCGTGCGGGTCCCGCTTTCCAGCACAGCATGCATCCCCCGTCCTCGTGGCAGCCGTCCCCACGGAGCTGCTCTCCGGGGAAGGTCCTGGGCGCTCTGATGAGGACACACCGCTGACTGGGCCCAGGAACCCGCGCCCGGCGGGACCCGAGGGCGGAGCGACGCGGCCCATAGCTCCTGCGCCACCTGGCCGTCTCTTGGCTGTGACAGTGACCGGCGTCCGCCCTGGGCCAGCCGCTCCGCAGTCCCACGTGGCCGCCGCGGCCGCTTTCATGCTCCAACGGAGGCTGGGCCTTGGGGCGTCTGGGCGCTGACCCAGCCGTTCATCTGCTGGCTTCACTCTGTTCCCTCCTCCGTTTTTGAATTAAGCCCATTGAGAAAATACAGGAAGCGCAGCTCGGCCCGCAGCCTGGAATGGAGGCTCATCCTCACCCCCATCACAGTGACCAGGGGCACAGTGGCCTCCCACTTCCGAGGGGTGGCTCCGGGCACCAAGAGGTCTACAGGGCTCCAGGTCACACCCGTGGATGTGAAGACACACCCACCTTCCCTGGGAGGCCACAGAGCTGAAGGGGAGGGGCCAACACAGCTCAAGGGAGGGCTGGGAGGGTGACAATGGCACACACCAGCCCATGCGGGCCGTGATCGCTGCATGCCACTCCAACCCATCCTTGGATGGAGAACCCGGCCCAGGGAGGGTAAGTACCTTCCCCGGGCTGCTCAGCACTGATGGGCCCGGGCTGGACGCGGGTCTGCAGTCTCCAAGAGCCAGCACCCAACGCACGGAGCTGTTGTCACTTAAGTTCTCAGCCTTTGCGGCAGACAGCGCCATTACTCCTGTTTCACAGCTGACGGAACGAGGCTCAGAGAGAACGAGAGCCTGAGCCAGGTGGCCCTCCTTCAACCTGTGGCAGGGACCTGCTGTGTTCCTGCTGTCCACAGCCTCCCACAGCCTGCTGGACCAGACCCAGGCTCACACGCTTACCACTACAGACCCTGGACTCCCTCCTTCCAGCTCTGAAGGCCCCACCCCTGCACCAACACCAAAGACACCTCGAAATCCAACATGGCGCCCACCAATGGTCAACTCTGGACCCGTTGCTTAGGGTCTGGGCCAGAGGGCCTGCTGGACCCTGAACTCAGAAAGTCCTGCATCCCACTCACAACAGCTACTGGCCCAAAACACCAAGTCTTGCTAGAGCCCCTTGCTTGGCGCCTACAGCCCATGTGTCCAGTTGGCACCATCTCCCAGGGCCCATGGACAATCTGGGCCGCAGGGTGGGGTGGTCTGGACAGTTTCCACCCTCCTCCCACATCTCCGCAGCGCTGGGCGCTCCGTGTCCACCTGGGAGCCTGGCCGTGGTGGCAACACACCTTTCTTTTATCCCGCGCTGTCCTACACACCTCACCAGCAGCACCGCCCACTTCTTTATGCATCAATATTTTACGATAAACACCAGCAGGTAAAGCAGATACAGAGATGCTGCTCTGTTTGAGGGGAGCCCTCCTCAGACCAAGCATTTCCTTGTCTCACCTCTGAGAACCTCCGAGGGTCCCCAGGGTTCCACAGGCCATAGTTCCAGAAGAACCAGGGTGGGCCTCAAACTGCGCAGCGCCGTTGACCACGCCGGCCGCCGCCCCGAGCCCCCGGCCCTCCTACCTGGAGGCCGCGATCTCCGCCTTCTGCTTGGCGATGGTGGCCGCGCGCTCTGCCGCCTCCACGGCGCGGTCCACCTTCTCGCGGATCTTGCTGGCGCGCAGCGGGATCAGGTTCTTGCGCTTGCCGCTCACGAGCACGTTCTGCTTGTACTTGCCCTCCTCCTTGGTGCCGTCGGGGAAGGTCATGCAGCCGTAGCCGTGCCGCCGGTTGCCCGCCCACTCGCCCTCGTAGCGCAGCCCGTCCGAGCGCTGGCTCACGCCGAAGCCCGAGCGCTTGTCGTTCTTCCACTCGCCCACGTAGGTCTCGGTGGTGGTGGCGTCGATGTCGTCCTCGATGACCGACAGCTCGGCCTCGCCCTCGCCCAGGCTGATGGTGGAGTGGATGTCGCTGGCCGTGGAGCTGACCGTGCTCATGCCCGCCTCGCTGCGGAAGGAGCTCTGCTTGCTGCGCTGGCTGGCCAGGCTGCTCTTGGACTCCGACTTGCGCAGCTTCAGCCCGCTCAGCAGCGAGCGCCGGAACAGCCCCTTCTTCTTGCTCTTGAGGATCTCGGAGTCGCTGTGCGCCACCAGCACGAAGCCCCCCCGGGACACGGCCGGGCTGCCCGCCACCGCCGGGGACGCGTCGGGGTGCAGCGCAGCGCCGTTGGTGTGCTCACTGCGCAGAGAGTTGATGGACGTCCTCAGGGGCGAGCGGATGACCGCCGCCATGCCGTAGGGGACACTCTGCCGCACGCCGTAGCCTTGGCGCATGCCGCCGACCCACTGGCCCTGGTAGGTCCCTGCGGAGACAAAGGAGAGCGGTGAGCGCGGGGGGCGGGGCGCGCACACAGTGCACGGAGCCCCCACGGTTCCCCGTCTTGGGGCAACTCGGTGAGGTTTACATCGAGGCAGACAGGCCGTGGTGCGTTTTTAGTCTACATCACTGATGGTCACGTTAAAGACACCTCAGTCCTGCCTCCCACGGTTGAATTTCGTCCTCTCTCAGAAGTTGGGGAGCGGAAAGGAAGGCATGAGGCTCTGATGCAGAGGCAGGAGCACAGAGTGGAGAGTTAACTGGAGAGCTCCCCCTGCGTATGCAGAAGGCCTAACCCGGAGAAGACCGGAAGGGATTTAGTGAAGAAGCACATCCTGGGTGAGTGGCCCCAAATGAGGGTCGTGGGGCCCACGAGTGGCAGCTACAGGGACACAGATCTGGGCTATAAACTGGGTACTGAAGAGGGTGCCTTGATAGGTAATAAGTTCCCCATTGCTGGAGGTATCCAAGAAGAGTTTGGAAGACCACTCAGTGAAGACACCGTAAGTGCATGTGGACCTTGAGGTATTGAAATCGGCAGACCTGACATCCCCAAAAGAATCAAAACCAGGGACTTAATCAGCTATTTACGCACCTCTGTTCATAGCAGCCAACTGTTATTCACAATCGCCAACAGGTGGAAACAACCCAAATGTCCATCGGCGGATAAACAGATAAACCAAATGTGGTCCATCCACACAATGGAATATTATTCAGCCTTAAAAAGGAAGGAAATTTTGGCCCATGCTACAACTTGGATCAACCTTGAGAACATTATGCTCAGTGAAATAAGCCAGAAACAAAAAGACAAATACTGTTTGATTCCACTTATATGAGGCACAGAGAGTGGTCAAATTCATAGAGACAGAAAGTGGAAGGGTGGGTACCAGGGACTGGGGGAGGGGATGGGGAATTATTGCTTAAGGGGTACAGAGTTTCTCTTTGGGGTGATGGAAAAGTCTTGAAAACAGAGGTGATGGTTGCAAAACATTGTGAATGTTAATAACGGCGCTGAACTATGCACTTAAAAATGGTTAAAATGGCAAATTTATGTTACATATCTTACCACAAGAAAAAGAAAAAGAAAAAAACCAGCAGAACTGGGCTCATATTCTTGCTCTACTTATTGGCTGTGTGACTTTAGGCAAATGTCTGGACCTCTCTGACCCTCAGTTTCCTTATCTGTAGAACAGGTCTAAATTCCTCATGCCACAGGTTGTTGCGTGAAGTAAATGACCCTCAGCATGGTGCAGTGAGGGGTCTCCCCACTCTCCTCCTCCTCCCACCCCTGCCCTGACCAAGAGCTTTTCCTGCCTCAGGCCGCTGCTGCCCATGTTGGGCACGGGGCACATTCTTCCCCAGGAGACTGTGTGCCCAAGTGCCCCATGCACTCTGTCTCAGAGTCAGTCAACCAGGCTGTAAGTGGGGGACAGTCGTGGAGGGACAGGCAAAGGCAGTGGCTGATTCTGTGCCACTCAGCATCCTGTTGTGGCCCACGCTGGGGTGGAGACCCCAAGGCTTACACTAGCCCAGGGTTGTGAGAAGGACCCTGGGACCAAGCTCACAGTCCTGGGTGGCTCCTCCTCTGCATGGGCATGTGGCAACCTGCAGGAGGGTGGCCCTTTAAGAAGGCCAGACCTGCTGCCTGGACAGTGGCCTCCTGCAGTCAGTTCAAGCTTGGAAGGGGCTGCGCTGTAGGGCGTCTCAACCCCAAATCTCACCCCCAGCTCACTGCCCTCCTACTTGTGGGCTGAGGACGGAGCTGTCAGATGAAACACAGGGTGCCCAGTTAAATCTAAGTTTCACATGAATAACAAATAACTTTTTAGGGACACATTGTATGGGACGCACTTAAACTAGAAACGATCAGATGGATGATCTGGAATTCAAATTTAACGGGGCGTCCCACAGGTTTCTCTGCTGAGTCCAGGCACCCCAGAGATCTTCCAAGATGGCAGCCTGGGGTGTGCCGACATGGGGGCGCCAAGGATGGCAGATGCCCCTCCCACAGCTGAGGATGCCCCTGGGAAGGAAGGAGACTCAGCTCACTCCACCCCCAGCACCCCTCCGTCTCCCCAGGGAGGCCGGGGCTTACAGATAAGGATGGAAACCACAGTTAAAGAGCGCAGACATAATGGAGAGGCAACATGTGGTCCATCTGCACAACAGAGTATTATTCAGCCTTAAAAGGAAAAGAAATGCTGACACCTGCTAGAACATGGATGAACCTTGAGGACCTTCTGATAAGTGAAATAAGCCAGCCACAAAGGGATAAACGCTGTGGGGTGCCACTTCTGGGAGGTCCCTAGAGGAGTCAAGTTCATGGAGACAGAAAGTAGGAGGGTGGGCGCCAGCGGCTGGGGGAGGGGATGGGGAGTGAGTGTTCAATGGGGGCAGAGTTTCTGTTTTATGAGATGAAATAGTTCTGAAATGGACGGTGGTGATGGTTGCACAACAATGTGAATGCACTTACCACCACCAAAGTGTACACTTAAAAATGGTTAAGATGGTAAATTTCACGTTATGTATATTTTGCCACGAGTGTTTCAAAAAGTAGAGGTGCCCAGAGGAGCTTCCCCATAGCCCGGTGGAGGCCGTGAGGTGCAGGGGCTCGGGGCCGGGAGGAGTCAGGAGCGGGAAAGACCTGGGTTCGAGTCCCAGCTCCACCGTTTCTGGACCTATGACCTTAGGAAAGTCTGCTTTAACCTCTCTGTGCCTCAGTTTCCTCATTTGTAAAACGGGGAAGGTGGCTGTGCAGACAAAATGAGGTAACTGACGGAAAGTGCTGAAGGTCGTGATCGCTCAGTTAATGGCAACTATTATTAATTGTATCATCAAAACCTTAGGGAGCACATAGCACCTCACTTCGCAGGTGAAGAAAAAGAGGCTCAGAGAGGGGCTGTGGCCCACCCAAGGCCCGCTCAGCCAGGAAGTAGAAGGGCAGGATTCGAACCCAGGGCTGTTGCCTGGGGCAGAGCCTGGACCCAGGGCTCGCCGTCCCTCCCGCTCTCTCCCAGCTCCTGTTTCCTGCCACCCTGGCCTTCCACGAGCCACACACCCTCTCTTAAGGAGCTGAGCGACCAGGACAAACCACGGCCTCTCTAAGCCTCAGTGTATTGCACGGTACAGCCACAGTGTATTGTCCTGAAGTCCATGACTCTGGGGACCCCTCGACAGATTAGCTGATGCTGGGGACAGTCAGGAGTGTGCACAGAGGACGTGCTCCAGGCCCAGACAAGGGCGAAAGGCCAGGAGAAACGACTTGTCCACCGAGGCTTCGTTTGAACTACACACATCCTGGCAAGTGCTGAACAGGCACAGCCACAGGGACAGAAAGCAGACGGGCGGTGCCGGGGCTGGGGGGGGGGGCTGCCAATGGGGACGGGGTCTCCTTTAGGGGTCATGAAAGGGTTTGGAGCTAGACAGAGGTGGTGGTTGCCTACCCCTGTGAATGTGCTAGGTGCCAGTGAATTGCTCACTTTCAAATGGTTAGTTTTACGTTATGTGAATTTCACATCAATTTTTTAAAAGAATAATGATTGGTAGCAGAGAAATGAATGGAAGCACAGTGAAAATTACATGTATATGATTTCAAACTCCCAAAACTAGACAAGAGAAGAGCCGCTCAAGCTCTAAGGGCTTTGAGAATCGTGTCAGAGTCTTCCACATCCTAGCCCGTGGCGCTGGAGCTTGGGGAGAGCAGAGCCCCGAGTCCAGAGTGCCAAATCCTTGCCACTTAGCTGTGACCTGGGGGACCTCACTTCACCTCTTGGGCCTCGGTCCATTCACCTGTGAAATGGGAGTGACAGCAACACCCACCCGCTGGGTCCAAGTACTGTAACGGCCACACATAAAGCGTAGGGCATGGCCGCCCACCCGTGGCCTGACAGGGGCTAGCTGAGCCTTCCTCGCCCAGAGTTCACAGTTTTGTTGTATTTGCACTTCTGCCCCGAGTCGGAACACATCTCTGATCTTATAACTGACGTCACTAAGAAAGTGGCCTTCAATATTACAGAAAGACACTCCAGACCGGCTCTGCTGCCGGGCCTGGGTGGCCGGGCCTCACGGCTCCACAGCACGGGCTGGGGAGGACCAGGGAGAGGACTCAGGCCAGCTCGGCAACAAGGCCCAGGGGGAACCCTCCACTCCCACCTCGCTGGGCCTCCTCTCCTGCCAAAGTCCCTTCTCCCCCCCGTTCTTTCTTGGGGGGCAGGGGGCAAAGGTTGAATTCAAGGCCCTGATTCCCAGTGGCTGTTCCATCAAATCCGACTGGTTATTTGCAAAACACTAAATCCAATGATGTGTTGTTTTCTTTTACACTCAAGGAGCTTGTATGTGAAGACAGAAGCCAGCACAGCCAAGTGCACAGGGAAGACCACTTGTGGCCCCGAAAGGTACCGTCCTCACGGGATGCTGTGAGGTCTGTCTGGGCTGGCCAGTCCCAGAGCTGGGTAACTTCCTGCTGCACTGGTCACGCTGACTCGGGCCCCTGGAACAGCGGCGGCCCGCCACCAGAAGACACCCAGATGCAGGTGGGTCGCTGGAGGCGAGGGTGCATCCTGCTTCTTTCCCAGCAGCCTCAGGAAGGCGTGGTCACACACAGGTGCCCCTCCCATGGGTTCCCCACCTCGCCTGCCCATTGCGGTGAAGGCAATGGACTGGCCCCTCCACGCCCATCACCCAGAACACCGGCAAGAGGAGACCACCAGGAGGTCTCATGCTCCAGCAGTGTCAGCATCCCCCACTAGGTGTGTTCAAACGCCCCAGGTTTCTGACCCAGGCAGGTGGGCGCAGGCTAACGAGCTCCCAGGTGAGGCCGACACTGCGCCCAGGGGGCCCCACTCTGAGGTCCACTGAGACAATTGCTCCAGCACCTGGCACGCTGGGGACACCAGCATTGGTTCAGGAAACAACCAGGTTCAGATCCAAAAGCCAGCGCACAGCCTCGCCAGCCCGGCCCCACATCCTTCAGCCAGCTCCGGTCCG